AGAAGTAAACTACAAATACAATACATGTAGGTACTTACCTTATTCTTTTGCTTAAGTAACGATTATGGAATCAAATCACTATTTGATGTATAATAAATAAAAGAGATACACTTTTTTTTTTCAATTGGATAGATACTGTGCTGATAACGTGTTGCAAAACTAAAGAAATATAGAGAATAGAAATATAAAGAGATAAGAGACTATAGATATGGAAATGCTAGAGAAAGAGCTTTTCAACTTCTATTTCTCAATGTACCCAAGGCCACTTTTTATAGTCCTCCAAACATAATAATCAACAAATACAATAATAAAAGTGTTATATCAATGGGTAGGGAGTTATAGGCTAATGCACTAACACCTACTAATTTTTATTTACTTGGGGTACTAATTAGAAGGTTAAGGGTTATCCATTTTATATACAATGTATATACAAGATATATATATATATATGCAACGTAATATTTACAACAGTTTGACCTTTCTAGTATCTTGGGTTATTTTATCTTAGAAATACTTGTTTCTTATTAGAAATATCTGTGTCTATATTCGGGCATTCAATTTTGTAACAAATGCTAACTGCTGTTTGTTGTGGCAGTGTAGGTCAAATCATGTGTTACCGTGTAGACCTCCAGGCATCATGCTGGATATCAAGAAATCATCGTACAAGAAACTGTCCAAGTGGCTACAATATAAATCGTCCATAGGATTGGTTTGTTTTCTACTTCTAAGAAAAGCTTCCCTTTAATCACAATATATCATATGCTTTTGTGATCTTGTCAAACTTTGAACATCATTTGTAGTATTCAAAATGGAAATTTGCAGTATTATGTGGATGTGTGAAAAGGAAAAAAATTAACTTAAAAACCAGATGGTCTTTGTACTACCCCAGCAGCCCTTTTAGTCATCAGCAAAAAGAGAGGGAAAAAAAAAAAACACTTTGGCAGCCTTTTTTTTTTCTTGGAGATGTTAGGACTTCACTTTCCTCCATGTTCCTTTTGTGGCTTCATAAACTGGATTTTATGCTGCAGAAGTACATTATGTGAGCACCTATTCATTAAGTGGCCAGGAATTACTCGAAGTTTGCAATGTCGTCTCTTCATCCTTAGAAAACACTAGCCGGCCAAGTTATGAAGGGGGCTGGTAGTTTTGACAGTGGATCAGTGTGGGGCCACAGCTCTTTTAGCAACATGTATCTACCATGCTTTAATTTGACATTGTCAGCCTTTTGGGAGTTTTCTTGTGGTGCATTGCATATGAAACTGGAGGCAACAAACTAGTTATAATGCATTTGAGAACATGTATATATCCAATTTAATATACATAATGTAGATACTTTGGATAGCATTGAACAGTTTGAAACTCTATTGGCTGGTAGCAGATTACAAGCAGATCAAATCTTCAGGAAGAACTTAGTTAATAGTGTGACTGATGGAGGTTATAGAGCATGTTTAGATGCCTATGTTTAAACTCTCCTTTCAATAGCTCAAATGTGGAAAGCTGAGAGAGGGAGAGGAAGTTTAGGTGTCTTTAGTTGGTGATTGCAAGCTTCTTTCTTAAAGAGATGAAGCCTTGGCGTGAGAAATGAGAGAAAATTAGAAATTTAAGTGTTAGATTATGATTGTACATATAGGATGTTTACCGTAAAGCCTTAATCTTCTATATCAGCTGTGGATTTGTGTTCAATGGTTAGCTTTTCCAATACGTAAACAACTTTTTATGTATCTCGTGTATGAAGGATACATAGTAGTGCTTAAAGATTGTCTTATCATTCCAATACGTAAACAACTTTTTAATTATATTTTTTATTAGTTTCTATATATGTAAACATGTATGTATGTATGAATATTATATGACGCTCTCAATGTGCCCCCGCTCTTAAGATTTTTTAAAAAAATTTCACTTTTGCGCTCCCCCTCTCACCCCTACTCCCGCTTTGTGACTTAGAAGACGACTACTTGCTCAGTTAGCATCAGAAAAACTAGTGACAATCATGGTAGATGAGGAATGATATAAGAATTCTTTACCAGGTGCTCCTTTCAGAAATCGAAGAATAAAACAAATAACCTCCCAATGAGGCTTACGAGGGGTATACATGAACTAACTAATGACACCAACAACATTGGTAATATCAGGACGTGTGACTGAAGGTAAATCCGCTTACCAACCAATCTTTGATAACGCCTTACGTCATCAAAAACTTCACTACTATCAGTATCCAACTTAACTGTGAAGTCCATGAGAGTATCAGATGAACATGCACTAAGAGTACCAATTTTAGACAATAAATTCAATACATGCTTCCGTTCGCACAATTGATACCTTCCTTTGACCAAGCAACTTCAATCTCAGAAAAATATTGAAGAAGACCTAGATTTTTGGTATGAAACTACTTCCCTAAATGAATCTTTTAAAGTGAAAAATACCATCTATCTCATCACTGCTAATAATAATGTCATCAACATACATAATAAGAATAATAATACCCGTGGAAGAACGATAAATAAAAACTGAATGGTTTGAAGTAGAACGTTGAAAATCATACTAAAGTGTAACAAAACTGAACTTATCAAACCAAGGACGTGGTGAATGCTTCAGACCATATAGTGCTTTTTTTAGATGACACACTAACTGTTCCTTACCAGATATAACATAGCTTGAAATTTGTACCATATATACCTCCTTGTGTAGGTCTCTACGGGAAAAAGCATTCTTGATGCTAGTTGATACAGAGGCTAATCACAACTTGCTACGACCAAAATAAGAACTCTAACAAAGTTAAGACAGGCAACAAAAGAAAGTCTCACAATAATCCACAACATATGTCTAAGTGTAGTATTTAGCAACCAGACAGACCTTTAAATGCTCAGTTGAACCAGCAGAATGAAACTTCCCAGCGCAGACCAATGACAACTGACCGACTGTTTATTAGAAGGAAGAGTAGTAAGGTCCCATATCTGATTCTCATTAAGGGCTTTCATTTTCTCTATCTATAGTCAGTTTTCAACCAGGAGATGACAATGCCTTTTTCAAATAACTAAGAACAAATATTGAAGACAACATCGATGCAAAACAACTAAAAGATGGTGAAAGCAAATGAAAAGAAATAAAATTAGAAATGAGATGCTTTGTACAGTTACAGGCATCTTTCCTTGATGCAATAGGTAAATCAGAAGATGATGAACTAATTGATGACTTAGTGGGCAAGACTTCTTAGAATCAAGTGATGGGTGTGGAGTTAGAGCATATGGAACAACCAGTTTGTCCTTGGAACAATGATAAATCTACAAGGGAAGATTAGAACTTGGGGAGGAACAAGAGACATAATCTGGCATAATAGGCAACAAGAGCTCTCCCTGACTAGGAAAGACTAAATCTGAGGTAAGTGCATCACCAGACATAGAAAAGAAGGAAGATGACTCAAAATAGATAACATATGGATTGACAAAGTATTGACGAGAAACAAAGTCATAGCAACAATAACCTTTCTGAATATGAGAATATCCCAAAAAGACATTTAATTGAGGAAAGAGAAAGTTTATCCCTACCCACACCAAGGAGATGAACAAATGCAACACAACCAAAGACACGAGTAAGACCAAATGGTGGTTTATCATGATATAACAACGAGAAATGAGATTTGTTGTCCAAAATGGGGGAAGACTTGAGATTAATAAGATAAACTAAAGTAACAACAACATCAATCCAATATGGTTTTGGCACATGCATGTTAAACATCAACATGTGGACAACATCTAACAAATGACGATGCTTATGTTTAGCAACCAAGGATTCAAACTTTTATTTCAAAACGGTCAAAATATCTGAAACGTTTCTGTTTCCAAGTAGACCGAAACGAATCAGTGATGAAAGCGAAATTCTAATACTTTGAGATATTTCATAATATTTTGAAGTATTTTGTAATGTTTCAATTCATTTGCAAAATTATTTCGGAATGTTTCAAGATATTTTGATATATTTTGACCAATATTTTGAAAAAATAATTCTAAATTTTTTATTTTTTTCATTATGTTTTCGAAACGAGTCAAAACGTTTTTGTTTTCTAAGTGACCAAAATAATGCACCGAAACGAAAATTTGATCTTTGTCGGCACTTTGAGATATCTGTGAGTGAAAGGAATACACAAGTTAATTGTAGAGCTCCTGTATATATAGCTAAATAATACTACAAAAATGACCTAAACATTCATCTAGTCTAGGCAAGGCATAAAAGTTATAGTAAGGGTAAAAAGGAAAAACCCTAATAAACTAGACTATAACTCCAACATTCTCCCTCAAGTTAGGCGCAAATCACTTATTATGTCTCCCTCCAACAAAAGCACCTTGTTATTTAGACATTGTATCCCCCAAAACTCCTCTCAACCTTTCTCATCAAAATCTTGCAAAAATCTTGTCATCCTCATACCAAACCTCACAGTAAACTCACCCTTTTGAAAATCCTCCTAAGGGGTCATTTGGTTGCCTGAATAGGGGGACACTAAGGGGGATTGCACTAAAATCATGCTAGTCCGCCCTTTTCCTATGTTTGGATGGGCATTTCACTGATGATTATTTATTGGGTCGAAATAGAAGTTTGTTTCACAACTTTGTATAGTGCTTCTCAGTGAGCATTTTTAATCCCTAGTGGGGGTGCTATTGTAATCCTGGGATAAGGAATAACAAGTAGCGATGAGCCTGATATAGTGAAACTACTCCACTTATATTTTATGAGATGCTAGGTTAAAAAAATCAATGGAGAGGCTGTCTCCTTATCACATGCTTTGTCCACCTACACAAGATTGAATTGCATTAGGCTTTCCTATTCCTTCTTTTTCTGTCCAGAAACCAACCAACCCTCAAATCCTATGGATAGTGCTTATGGGGTGCAACTTCGGGGAAATTGTTGGTTGGAGAAAATCTACCGCTCGTGCTAAGGAGTGTATTACCTTAAAAGGAAGAAAATTTTCTAATGATCATTCCAAACACTTTGGGGTGGAATAAAAAATGGACATGGGACATCGTGCAAACCATTATGATGGGGGTCGCAAAGGAATTAGACAAAGCTTGGAAGTGAAGATTAGTGTTTGGGAATGTATTTTGTTTTATTTTTTCATTACGGTATATTGGGTCTATTTTCTTCAGGGTTCATATAATGCCAGTAGATACACATAATTGGTTTTACTGTTTTCATGAGTCAGATGGGCTATTTCATTTTTTTATACTGATCAGGTTTACTGTTTGGTTTTGCTTATGTACATTTTGTTTGCTGTAAATTTTATGGCATGGACAGATTTTGGTAAAAGAAGATAAACATAAGAAAGAGGTTTCACTTTTTTCTGTCAACCGCAATCATGTGGATTATACTTCCTTCAAGCTAGAGAAGCGGAAAGTGGAGAAAAATGAGCAACGCACTTATCCTGTAGCCAGTGAAGGACGATTGAATAAAATACTGGAAGTGGCAGAGATCTATAAACCTAGTGTGCATGTCAAACCTGTTTTCGCTTCTGTTGGAGCTGATGTGGGGGATATCTTCAGTGCCTCAGAAGCCACTGAAATTGTCTTCAGGTACATTGAGAAGGAAAACCTGGTTAAACCTACAGTCAAGTCTCTTGTGGTTTTAGATGCAACTCTATGCGATGCTCTGTTTAAGGGAGCCATTAAAAAAGGATCAACTTACCCTACTGAAATTCATAAGAAGGATCTTGGGCCAACATTTATAAACCGGATGCAAGCCCATCACAGAGTGACAAGAGGAACTGAAACAGTGGTTCGCAAAGGTGGCCTGAAACCAATTCAAATAGTGACAGAACGGAGGCAAGGTAACAAGAAAGTGACAAAATTCTCAGGTTTGGAATCATTTCTGATGGAAGCTGAGGCATTGGCATCAGAGCTTCAGAAGAAGTTTGCTTGTAGTACATCGGTAGCAGAACTGCCAGGTATCCCATCTTAGTGAGTTTCTAATCTGAAATGTTTTGTTTATTGGTGGTTATTCATAATTGACACATCTGCACAATATTTTTAGTCTAGACTCTAAATTTTTAGGGATCTTCTTCAACCTATCACTGGGACATGCTATATGGACAAAGACGAACAACTATGATCTCTACCATTTTTGGTTGTCTTAAAGCAGTATTAGGATGTTTTAGTTCTAATTTTATTTATTATGAGCTCATATATGATGGTGGTACGTGGTTTTATTTTAATTTTTACTTGTAATGAGCTCATATCTGAATTTCATGCTTTTTACCTTCTGGCAAGAACCATTGTGAACTTATGATTAGCTAACAGAATAAAAAATTTATAGGCGATAAAGATGTAAAAAAGAATACTATATGGGATTTAAAAGAGTCTGAACTTATGATGAATCAAAGGAAGAAAAGACTAGATATACCTGTTAAATGAATTTCCAAGGACTCGTATCTGTTACTTTATGCCCAGATTTAGCTTTCCACCCATGCTGCCAAAAATTGTTCTTACTCTTCATTTTCATGTCCCACAATGAATTAGGTTCTCATGGGACTTGTCATAACCCTTCCTATTTGTTTCTTTGATGACAGCATGCTTACGTGTTTCATGACCACATAGCTAAGCCACAATTCTAATATAATGTTGTGGCTGGTTTTCTGTGAAAATATGTTCATTTGCCTAGCACACTTATGCATGGCAAAGTTTTATGCATTCCATGCGTGAAAAAAGTTTAATCATGGTTTGGTAGTTATGTTGTGGATTCAGTGATGAATAAACGCAGAGATATTATTATTTTAGGGTTTTTAGAATGCTTGTTTTCTCATTTGTATCAATTGCACACCATTGCAAAGAAATTGACGATGTAGTCGTATCGAATTGCAGATATTCATTGGTGAAAAATAGATATACTGATAGGGTTGAGAAATGGGCTCACATCAAGATTTTTAAATTTTCCACTCCAGCTAAAAGCAGAAGTGGAAAATTTAAACCAAGTTTCCTAGTCGGCTGAGCTGGGTTTGCAGATGAATGATGTAGAAAAGTTCAGACGTCAGCCAACTCTGGCTAATTTATATTTAAATTAATAAACAGCTGGGTTCTAAATTTAGCTGTAAATGACTATTGCGGACAGATGTGTATTCTGTGAAGGAATAATGTTCATCTATTCCCCTAATAATAATTTTGCTGAACATATTCTGAACTGATTTTGGTAGCCTCCTTCATCCCCTACCACCCAAAATGCATGTTTGTATTTGACTGCATAGGATATTGCTCTCAAGTGTTTGATGGGTTTGCTTAAGGTTAATTGCATGGAAACGCTAGAGGTGTTCTTGCTGCGTGTTTCAGTTGCAAGCCTTCTAAATTATTTGGTTCGAACATTTGCATGCATTGGTACAGAAATTTGTTTTATGTCGCATTGATATTTTCTTGCATCTTTTCAAATCTTTTCTTCCATATAGGTAAGAAGGGAAATGAAGTTTTGGTTCAAGGGGGTGTGATTGATGATCTCGCAAGGTATCTAATTGAACAATATGGGATTCCAAAGAGATACATTGAAGTTCTCGACAAAACCAAGAAATGAGCTTTAAGGTGATTAGCTGCACCTATCTGTTGTTTTTTTTACTCACCTCTCTCTCCCCCCCAAAGCATGTTAGGGTGTGTTTGGATCGTCGGATATAGGTGGATACCTATGAGTAGGATTGGAAAAAAATCAATGGGTGCCCAGATATCCCACATTTGGAATGCTAAAATTGCGCTGGAAATCCCATTCAGGTTGTATGCTGACCCGGCTTAAAAAGTCAACATTAACCTGTGTAGTTGGGATAAATGAAACCCCCGGGGGGATATTTTTTATCTAGGCTATATATATCCGGGCAAAATTATCAAAAAGTGCCCAGCTCCAGCCATATGTATCTCTCGCCCGTCTTCTGCTCACCGGTCCATCAACAATTTGTTTCTAAGCACAGATCTATGGAGAGCACAATTTGTTCTTAAGTTTCAGATTTGTTCTTCTCTCGACAGGTCTGTCACTTCCATCGTGATTTTGTGCTGTGATTTTTTTTTTTCCTTTGATCTGTGATTTGTGTGATCTTTGTTATGTGATCTGTTGTTATATGATCTCATCTGTTGTTGTTCGTAAATGCCCTGTTATTCGTGATTCCGAAGTTGTTTGTAAATTGCCCTCTTTTTCTACTCGAATTTGTTATTCGTAAATTGGGCAGTTTAGTTTAATTTTTTTTTATTTGAACAGAGTTTGATTTAATTGAATGGCTGGTTTTGAATGGTGTGGGTGCATGGATTTCGAAATTTACAAGAAATTTTAATTGAATTGTCTATTAATATATGGTGCTTGTGGTTACAATATATTCAGAAATGTTTATTTTATATTTTAATGAGTTGTAAAAATAATTGATATGAAAGTGTATTTTTTTTATTTTTTTTTTGGTTTAGAATGAAATGAAGGCTAATTTATAAAGCAAACGGGGTGGATTGGATAAAACAGGGACATAATAATTAATGAAAGCATATTACAAAACCTCACCCTTATCTATTTGCCCCACATAAGTGTTATGTACTATCCAAACAATGGAAAGGATGGGAGATATTCATTTATATCCTAACCATATGACAACTAGGCGGGTTTGGGTTGGATAAGAAATGTTTTTCTTTTTATATCCAATTCACTCTAGCCCTGCCATATGTTTGGATTGCAAATTAAAGGGGATACTCTAGCAAGGATAAAAAAGTATGTGGGGGGTGAATATATCTCACGTTTTGGAAATTTTATTCGAATTTTATCCCTACTTAGTGAGTAAATATTAAATGGAATGGTGATACCATGTCACCAATGGGAAAAATGAATATTATTTAGACTTATATAACAGTTTTGTTGTATAACACTTGATTTTGGTATGTTCTTTAAGAAGCATCATACAATTTATCATGTCAATATTATTTCTATGAAACAAACAAAGTCACGCAAGGTAAACAGTTGGTCATCAATTTTTAACCAATAGGGCAATCATTAAAAAAAAAAAAAAAAAGAAGGAAGAATAAGTTCTCTATAGCCAATGACTGAAGAAAATGGGATTCGACATGTTTTTCTTTGTACTATTTGTGGCGTAACAGCTTTAATTTCAAACAATTGTAAAAACTTGACTCGTATAAAAACTAGGTGCAACCTTTCAGTCGAGAAGAGTTGCTCACCGGCAGTGATTATAGCCCATGAGCAGGGGGCGAGCCACCCTTGGGCTAGGGTGGGTACATCCCCCCCCCCCC